GGGGGGGGGGGCTACATCCCCAAAGTCAAAATTCGGCTCAAAATTATGGAATTTGAGTTGTAGGCATTTTTAGCTTCCTCAGCCTCTCCGATAACTATTTCATCACATAAGAACCCCCAAAAATCGTATTTTTCCCATACCGGACATGTTTGTCACCGTCCTTTCCTCATAAAGTCAGTATTTTATTTTTCTTTATCGGCCGTTTTCTCAAAACGTGACTTTTCTCTATACTTTTTTGCATAACTTCACCATTTTTCATCCAATGTTCATGAATTTTTCACAGAATGAAGATAAGATGTAAAACTAAAAATTTGTTGGTTGAATTTTTGATATATGGAATAGATTTTTTTTTTGGTGGTGTCTGGAGTGTGGGTTTTTACGGATTTTTTGAAAACTTAAATGCTACCTCAGAAAAAAATTCATTAAAAATTTTCTAATTCCTTTAGGAAAAAAACAACAGACAGTTTTTTAGATCTAATGTTTGTGAACACGCATGCAAAAAAACATTCAATTTCCAGGAGCGATAAGTGCGGTGTTCATTACGTAAGACATGTCAACAAAATCCAATATGGCCGCCGTATCCATGGAAACGAAACTTTTTCTCAAATTTGATTGCGGATTTAGGGACTCCTTAGTATGCTTGTTATATGTGTGAAATTTGGTAAAATTCGGTAGGTCCAGTGATAAGCGAGATAGCCTTCAGGTGTAGCCCCCCCCCCCCCCCCCTTTAATTCTCAGATAGTTAGGATGAAAGCTGGTTTTTGTTTGCTCTTGTTCGTGATTTCAATGAATGTTGGTGTGGGTTCTTTTGGGGTTTTTTTTAGGGGGGGGGGAGCGTTGTTATTTCCTTCCTTTGTATTTTGACTTGCTTCGTGGAGATTGATCAGGAGAGATGACTGTGGGTGGTTGGCGGGTGCTCTGGTATGGTTTGCTTCTTCTTTCCTATCAAACATCCATTGTCCTTACCTCCCCTCCTTTTTTGTGTTGGTTTCTCTCTTGCAACACTTCTAATCTTCGGCACTTACAATATGACCTTATTGTGTTGCAAGTGCCGTAAAACTCTTACTGAAACAAAAGGAGAGATGAGTCTCTTCTTTGTCAGGCTTTGAAAATAGACAATTTCTCTCTCTCTCGCTCTTTCTTTCTCTCTCTCTCTCTCTCTCTCTCTCTCTCTCT